GAGAAGTATGCAAAAACCTCAAAGATATATTCTCACATTTTTATGAGGAGGTGATTCGTTGTAAGAAATCTGCTTGTGGCAACCTAAGAAGGGTAAGGAATCGTTTTTTGCTGCTTTAATTTGAGAGAGCAGAGTTTTAAATCCCTCAAGCATCCTCTAATCTTTGATTTGTGCATTGTTTTGCAGGAAATTTTGGCGAGCTCAATTTCAATTTCATCTGCTCCTAAGGGGAAGCTATGGGAAAGTGTTATTTGGCGTTTGGGTGCAACTAAGTTGAAGCACAAGATGAAGGATCATTAGTCTAAATTAAGCTAGGTTGGTTCGGTATGATGAATGATTCTTCAACTTTGTGTTTTTTCAATTGTTAATTAGTATAGGATGTAGCTATATAAACACTTTTTGGTTCATTTAGATGCTACTTTGTGTTTTTTCAATGGTGAATTAGTATAGCTGTACAGGATGTCGCTAGATAAACCCTTTTTGGTTCTTTTAGATGCTGTAATAAACCAACCGGAGAAACTAAATATACGTCTCTTTGGCTATTATTGTTTCACTAATTTTCCACATTTTTATGTGTTGGAAATATCTTTCCAGAACTTTCCAAACTATGATTTTGTTGAGCCCCATGAAAATATTGTTTCACTTTTGTAATGGTTATGTCTTAAAAATTAATATAATTGCACTCTTTGTTAAATTGGTAGTAAAATTATATTTTATGTACCCATTACAATATTGTAACTGTAGATATTATTTCTTTTGATTTTATATTTTTTTAATATTTGAATCTTAAACTACTCAAGTGTATTTTTAACCATTCTAATTAGGGAAATAAACATGGTTGAGAAAATCGGACCGAACTGGCCGATCCGATCAGTTGGATTGGGAACCGGTCAGTTGACTGGTCCGGTTTTGCTGTAATGAACCAGTTGACAGCGATAGGTCAAAATTGGCAAAAAACCGGTCCGGTTGAACCGATCTATATATTTTTTTAAAAAAATCCTTTTATATTTAAAAATATTTTAATATAAATAAAAAAATACATATTTAAATATAATAGATATATATATGAATTATTATTAGTTAGTTTAAATATTTGAATGTTTTAAATTCGCTTAAAATTTAAGTAACAAATTTTATTATATATGTTTAAAAATACTAATAAACTATATATCAGTCCACCGGTTCAACCTCTGGTCGGATTACTGAACCAATAACTTGACCGGTTTTGTTTTCATAACCATGGCAATTATTTGAAGTAAAATAAAATATAGATTTCAAATTTTTCTTAGAAAATAAATTTATAAAAATAAATCATAGGCATATCAATTATTTTGTCTTTTCATAAATAATCTATCTATTTTTTTCAGAGCCATTTAATTTCTTAAGTGTGGTAAAATAAATAATAAGTAAAAAAATTTTAAAATTAAAATTTTAACTGTGGAATATGAAAACTCTATATAAATGGGTGAAATATATTTTTTTGGATGTCTATTTAGTTTTTTATTTTGTTTTATGTAAATATCTAAAAAAAACTAGCGTAATTTATATATGTCTGTTAAAGTTTTTTTTTTTTTTAATACATGGAATAAAATTGTATTAATAAGTAAAGTTGTAACCATAAATTTAAGAAAATGAAAAAATAATAAAAATTTTTGTAAATACTACAAACTTATAAATTGTAATGATAAATCTTATCCATTGAGAAAACATTTTCATAATATTTCAAAAAGAATATACGCAAACCTGAATATTCTAGAAAAATATAGATTGGAAATGTAAATAATATATAATATTTTTAAAATATTATTAACATTGATATAGGAAAATTAATATAAAATATTTTAAAATAATATATAATATTTCTAAAATTTAATTTAAGCTGCACAAGAGTTCCTACGTGTGCGTGCTCCAAAGCGTCCAGAGCCCTGAATTCACGGCGGGAGGCCACCGCTGGGCTATCTTGTTCTATCCCAACGGCTTTGACCCCGAAGTCCGGAGCCAAGGCTACGCGTCGACTGCAGACCGTAAATTAGGTATCAACATGTTCAAGCGTCAATTGGGGATCGTGTGCCTCAGGCCCGGTCAACAGCCTATTCATCAAGCCGAGCGGTCCTTCCTTGAATCCCCCGGCAATGCCACCGCCAACGGTCTTTTGGTGTTTTATAGTATGAAAACAAACGACATAATTATAGGTATCAATTGATTGATTATGTGAGTTTTCAGGCGAATCCCTCAAAGAGATAAGGTCATCCTTGTTTAAGGAGGTGGTCCGTTGTAAGAAATCTGCTTGTGCCGTCCTACAAAGGGTAATGAATCGTTTTTTGCTGCTTTAATTTGAGAGAAGAGAGTTATAAATCCCTAAAGCTTTTTTTAATCTTTGATTTGTGCAGGAACTTTTGGCGAGCTCAATTTCAGTTTCATCTGCTCCTAATTAGAAAGTGTTATTTGGCGTCTGGGTGCAACTAAGTTGAAGCCCAAGATGAAGGATGATTAGTGTAACTCAAGCTTGGTTGCCGGTTGATTCACTATGATGACTGGTTCTTCAACTTTGTGTTTTTTTAAGTGGTGAATTAGTATAGGATGTAGCTAGATGAGCCCTTTTTGGTTCATTTAGATGCTGAAATAAACAAACTGTGCCAATAATATATATATATATATATAACTTTTTTGCTATTCAACTGATCTCATCGAGCCCCAGATCGATGGAGATATTGTTTCACTTTTGCAATCACTCTACAGGGGGAAAAAATACTGCACGATAAACTATATAAACAAGTGGTTCTTACTTCTTAGTATTACAACAATTATACTAAATTGATAGGGAGGCGGAAAAAATTGCCATAGCTAGTTGAATTGATTAGCACTTATATCAACTTACTGGTTGGAAACTAAAATTATGTTTCTTTCATAAATATTATTAATCTATTTTTATATTCATCTTCTTTAAATCAAGGTTTAAAACTAAACTTCTGTTTCTTTCATAAGTATTAATCTATTTTTATATTTATCTTCTTTAAATCAAGGTTTATTAATCTATTTTTATATTTATCTCCTTTAAATCAAGGTTTAAAACTTGAACGATCGAAACATAAATATTTTTATGATCAACATAAATATTTTGATGATCAAATTTATATAATGTGTAAATAATATTAATTAATATTTTATTTTTAATATATGTCATCATCATATTTATCCTTTTTTAAATCAATATCCTACCAAAAAAAATACATATTTAAATATAATATATATATATATAAAGTATTATTAGTTAGTTTAAACATTTGAATGTTTTAAATTGACTTAAAATTTAAATAACAAGATTTTTTATATAAATTTTATTATATAAATTATTATATATGTTTAAAAATACGAATAAATTAAATACCGGTTTAACCTCTGGTTAGATCACTGAAACACTGAACCAGTAGCTTGACCGGTCTAGTTTTCAGAACCTTGGCAACAAAATTGATTTTTAAGGCAATTATTTAAAGTAAAATAAAGTATAGATTTCAAATTTTCTTTAGGAAATAAATTTATAAAAATAAATCATAACCATATAAATTTAGAGATTCCATTATTAACATATATATATATATATGTGTGTGTGTGATAAATAATCCTACCTATTTTTTTCAGCCATTAATAATGTAAAGTAATGTTAGTATTATCAACTAATGTTATACTAGTACACTACCCGTGTATTACACGGGTGTTGAATTGGAAAACTTTTGTAAAAAATATTAAATTTTTATTTTTTTAAAAAAAACTAAAATAATTTAATTTTATATAAAACATTACTTTGGGTTTTAATTAAATAGTTACATTATATTTATTTAATCATAATAATTAAACACCCGTACATTAAATAAAAATGTCAACCTATGTTGAATTTTTTTACTTATATCATATAAAAATATCATATTATTTACTATTATATAAGTACAAAAATATATATCTTAAATAAATAGAAATAATATGGTGATATGTCTAGTGTAGAATATGTTTATTTAATATTAAACAAATAAATTAATTTTTTACTTAATTAGTTGCTAATACATCAAGTGTTGTATCAGTCGTGCTTCAAAGTTCTTTAAATTTATATGTAATTTTAGAATTTATATAAATAATTATTTATTTTTATTACATTGACAACATACCAATTAAATTAGAAATAAACATCATTTTTAAAAGAATACATACCAATTTCTATTACTTTATAATATAATTTATAGTCTTATTTGATATAATTTAATTTATTTTGATAAATAAATTTAAATTTTATTTATAAGGATATATATTACCGTTTTGTATTATATATATATATAACTCTATTTAATGGATGTTATGGAAAACAATGGAGATGAGATATGAAGAGACACTGTGTATTAGATGGAGAGTTAAAAATGAAAAAATATGAACAAAATATCAGAAACGACATTTATTTTATCAATGATCAATTAAGCCAAAGTAACAAATAATAAAAATAGGAGGGAGTATATATTATTATATATTTTAGTATGACACATGTTACTTGTGCTACCTTATAACATATAACTACATTAAACATAAATATATTAGTTGATAATAATTTTATTTTTTAATTAATTTTAATAAATATTTTTTTATTATTATAAAGATAAATAAAATTTATTTATTTTATATATACGATATGGATATCGATTCGAAACTTATCAAAAGATGATTAATTCGATATATTATATTGTAAAACCGATAAGAAGTACAAAAGTTATCAACTTTTAAAATATATTTTCAATTCAATGGTTATAAAAGGAAACGATATTAAAATACAATTAATATAAATATTAATTTATATCTAAGCCTAACTCCAAAGCATGATTTTTTGTCAAATAGAATTCCGAAGCATGAGAGTTTGCCACGTAGCTCAACGCATTCTGAAATTATATATAGAGGGGATTTTATCAATTTGTATTTTAAATTAATTTTTTAAGTGTTGTAAAACAAATGCGATACCTACCATAAGTAAATTTTTGTTTGAATTAAAATTTTAACAATATTAAAACTCTATATAAATGGTGAGATTCAGTTGGTATATAAAAGTCACATTGAACTTTTGTTCTCATTAAGATTTCAAGAATATCTCCATCAACTAAGCCAGAAGAAAAGCAGCATATCTAAGTTGAATAGAAGCCATTTTCCTATCTAAGTTGAATAGAACTCGAGTGAAAAATCTCTTCAAAACACTTATAAGTTGAATAGAACTCGAGTGAAAAATCTCTTCAAAACACTTATAGACAAGCTATGCAATGCATTTTTCTTTCACTTTTGAAGGTCAAGAATTATGGAACTCAACTATAAGTGGTTTTGGCGTCAGACCATTCATCCAAGCTAAGAGCGGCCTCTGCTATCGCCAAATTAATTCTTTATCTGTATGCGTCAAATTAATTCTATGTCTCTATATGTCAAATTAATTCTCTATCAGATTAGACTTAGGATATTAGATATTGCAAAATTACATTACTTTACATAAATGTGTAAAAAATAACAAAAATATATTTTTTGGTACAAAATTGTATTAATAAGTAAAGTTGTAACCATAAATTTAAGAAAATGAAAAAATAATAAAAAAAATTTGTAAAACTACAAACTTATAAATTGTAATGATAAATCTTATCCATTGAGAAAACATTTTCATAATATTCTAAAAGAATATACGTAAACATGAATATTATGTAACTGTAAATAATATATAATATTTTTAAAATATTTTTTAACACTGATATAGGAAAATTAAATTTCATGAATTGCACATAACATGTGTGTAGTATTTTTTTTCCAAACAGTATTGAAAGTTATAACAGTTGATAAGAAATAGAATATTCTGGAAATATTCTTTTGAGTTTGAGAATGAATATATTTATTGGAGAATAATTACTGTTTGATGTGTCAGTTATTGTAAAATGAGTTTGAGAATAAGTTTTTTGGTTAGAAATGGTCCTAGGACACTCGTCTTAAGCTTAGTTGGTTCAGTATGATTTAGAACTCTCAAAAAATAAAGAAATAATCACGAACACAAGATAAATATGGATTATCTTATGTTCTATATCGATTTCGTATCTTTTAGTTAAGTTCTCACTAAAGAAGTGATGAATTTCAAGTCATGTGGCATCATAGATGTTCTTGGACATCTCAAGGGGCTTCATGCGTAAAAAGACATCTTCCGAGACGTGCTTGATTGTCCAAAACTGAATAGAAACCTTTTCGGCACGAGCAGTGAGACGTGCTCAACTATGCGCCTCAATCATGCGTCGCGCCCGCGACGGGGCCTGGCACGCGCCTGCACGTCGTGAGCTCGTACGCGCTCGTCCGAACTCGGAATCAGGTTCCATTTTTTCCTACTCATCCCCAACTAACTCTTCTAGAGTTCTAGTATGCATACTACATCATTATGACTTGTTTGGCTTATCCAAACATTCGTCAATGACATGATATTTATGAAATCCTACAATCCTTGAGTTCATGTAACTCAAAATATCCCAACATTTATCAAAATATTCTTGAAATCCGACAATCTTTGAGTTACTTACACTCAATTTTGAGTTACATGAACTCAAATTTCCTCAAATTTCAACCATATATATAATTAATTTCTCGTTCAACCTAAAATGGTTTTAAAAATTTATTTAAAGTATTCCTTTTACGAAAAGTACAATAGTCAAATCAATAAAAAAACTAATTTTTTTTAGACATGTTTATAAAATCAGTCTGTAAATTGGTTAAATTAGTCTTCAGAGTCAAACTTATAATTTTTTATTTAATGTTATATTCTTTATTTTTTTTTTATTTTTTAGTGTTGTATTGGATGCTCGCACCCTCATAATTTCAATTTGTGCACCACCATATATGAAAATATTCCTACACTTCTATTAATCCATTTTCCTACACTTCTGTAATTTACATGGATACAGAAGGTTTCTCTATAAATGACCAGCGTATTATCTAATTATGAAATCTCTTAAATGACAACTTTATTATACAATTACAATTATGTAAAACAAATTATTATGTCTGGAATAAATGAATATTCCTTGTGTTTAATTAGAATTTATATATATAACTGTTTAAAAAATCAATTCTAACTTTATTAGCAAAATTGTGGTGAACAAACAAACAAAGTGATGTTTGCATTGTGAAATAGAGATTGGTTTGAAGAAAGTTAGGCCTTCTACTTGGTGGGCCAAACCAAAATAGTCCGAAATAATGCCTCAACTTGGCCCATGCTATAATCCTAAAGTGATGAGAATTCATAGGATTGTCCCAAACCTATAGCCATAAGAATTAGGATACATCCGTACAAATATTCTTCGCCCAATATATTTGGTGCCGGAGACGAAAAATTGGTAAGCAATCTGTGATGGAAAAGGAAGTCGGAAAGCTGCACATGGGTTCCCACTTGTGGGTGCTGAGGGACTATCAAGAGCGGTGAATTCACGGCGGGAGGCCACCGGTGGGAGATCGTTTTCTACCCCAACGGCTGCTACCCAGAAACCCGGTGGGAAGGCTACGCGTCCTTATTCTTGTCCCTGAAGAGCTGCGGCCGTGTCCAGTTTTTGCACGGAATTTACTTGTTGGGTGACAACGGCGGCCAATGGGGTATCAGCTTGTTCAAGTTTTGCTCGGGGATCGGGTGCCTCAGGCCCGGCGAGCTGTCCGGTCGAACCCAATTCATCAAACGGTCCGTCCTCGAATCCCCTGACAATGGTTACCTGAGAGAGGATTGCCTGAGGCTACGGTGCACGATTGGGGTCCTCGATTGCCCCTTTCCAATAGATCACCCCTTTCTCAGGATCCCAATCCCCAACAAGGGTATGCTTTTTTATTTTTATTTTTAATTTCGAGTTAGGGTTTATAGTATCAACACCAATTGTCAATTAGGGTTTAACTAATTAATTAATTCTATGCAAATCCCTCAAAGATATATGCTCACATTTTTACGAGGAGGTGATTCGTTCTAAGAATTCTGCTTGTGCCAACCTAAGAAGGGTAACTAATTGTTTTTTGCTGCTTTAATTTGAGAGAGCAGAGTTTTAAATCCCTCAAGCCTCTGATATCTTTGATTTGCTCATTGGTTTGCAGGAACTTTTGGCCAGCTCAATTTCATTTTCATCTGCTCCTAAGGGGAAGCTATTGAAAAGGGTTATTTGGCATCTGGGTGCAACTAAGTTGAAGCACAACATGAAGGATGATTAGCGTAAATTAAGCTTGGTTGTTCTGATTCTTCAACTTTGTGTTTTTTCAATGGTGAATTAGTATAGCTGTACAGGATGTAGCTAGATAAACACCTTTTTGGTTCATTTAGATGCTGAAATAAACAAACCATACAAATAAAATATCTATCTTTTTGGCTATTCAGCTAATCTGCTCTTTCTAATGCTGCTATGCCCCTTCCTATTGTTTCACTAATTTTCCACATTTTTATGTGTTGGAGATATTTTTATGCCCTTTCCTATTGCTGCTCTTCTATTGCTGAAATAAACAAACCGAGCCCCAGATTCGTCGATGTTGTTGGGGTCTTGGCCAAGGTATACAGACGGCTTAAGGGCTTTGATCGATGTGCGTGCTCTCTTGACCTTGGATCCTCAGTATATGATGTCTTAATTTAAACTTTTAGCATTTTGTATTACTTATTGAATGATCCTAATTTGAGTAGTTTTAATTTATATTGTAATATACATATGAATGGATCATCTTATATATGAAATTTTCTAAGTTCATAGCCTTTGTGGTAGCTTCATTGATATTACCTACCAAATAAAAGGCTTTTTCTGACTTCTTCGGGGGTTTGGATCAGAGAAAAGGCAGTTTAAGACAAAGATTAGTCTAGTCTTTAAGTAAATTGGTTAAATTAGTCCAACTTTATAGTTTTCTGTTTATTTCTTTTCTTTATTTATATTTTTTTAGGGTTGTGATTTGATGGTAGCACCCTTGTAATTTCAATTCTGTAATTTAAAATTNTTGTCTATACAGGGCATTTTGTACCCTACTCGTGAAATCTCTTAAATGACAACTTTATTATATTATTACACATTGTGTCAAGGCACAATTATCATCGGATTCCAGATCAGCTTAATGTAAAAAAGTAACCTGCAAATTAATGCTAATCCCTAAGCTTGATCATATAATAATAATTTTTATTCCTTGGGGGTTGGGGCAAATTATACTATAAAATCCTTGGAAGTTTTCAATTGTTACATCTGTCTCAACAATATTAACTAGAATGGAATAAGTTTACATTCACTGAAATGTAAGAGATTGACTACAGTTCATTACATGTAAACTATAAGGCAACTAAATGTTAATTAATTATTCATATTTTTCCAAATAGATATGGATATTTATTATTTATTTAATTGTCATGTTTAAAAATGAAATAACATAAACAAAAATATGATATTTTGTGTCGACCAACCTAACGGTTAAGTTGCATCGTTAAAATAAAATACAAATTGTGTCACTTTTTACACATTCTAGCACACACTCATTAACCACTCTTTACTAATTATGATCAAAATATGTTTAAAAGACTTCAAAGTTTTGTCTTATTTCAACAATCAATGATCAACAGGTTTATCGAAAGGGTCACTGAAAGGCAACAAATCAACAAATGAATAATGCAACTAATAGCAAAGACCAAAGAGTTGTTTCAACTCTTCAAAACTCTCACTTATCTTTTGGAAGTTTAAATGAAAATTTAACTGTGAATGATATTTGTTGAGATCTCCTTAAACTAGAAATCATTTTCCATCATCTATATCAACTTTTTTTAAAAAAATAAAAATAAAATAAAACTCTTGAGAAAGCAATTGATATGACACAGAATGTATATTTTATTCATAACTTACAGTTTAATCATCTCTCTTTTAACCCAAAAGAAATCTCAATGAAAAAAACCACTTGAAAATGCTCTTTTGGTATCACATTCAATCAGACAGTAACAATCAGCAAAAACTTGGATCCAAAATTTCATTGCACACACACAAGAATTGAGGGTATTCTGGTCAAGCTACCCAAGACACCAACCGCAGAATGCCACGTGGCGAGTAGTGATAGGCAGGAAGAATAAAAGCATTAAAAAAACAGCAGTTGCAGAACCAAAAGGGTAAGAGGAGAAGTCGCCTTCCACTTTCATAACATTCTACCTTGGGCAACTTTGTTCATATTGTAAAATTCCCAAAATACCCCTCACATCCCATCATATTCGCACCATCTGCCGCCTCCACACACATATTTCGCCAACAATTCTATATACGCACAGACCCACACTTGAAAAACCTACCAAAAAGACGAGATTTTTTTCCCATTCTCGCACTTCCTTTCTCTCTCTCTCACATGGGTTTTTGCTAAAGGTACGATCTTTACAGTTTTTTTAAGCTACTGATGTAACAGTTAATCTGATTTCTAGTTTCAGATTAAGGCATGTGTTGTTTGAGTAATTGGGTTTCAGTTCTTACCTTTGCTGCAATATGTACAGATAAAAAGTCAACTTTTGAATATGCACAACTTTGCTGTGTAATTCTACGTTTGTTTCATGTTAATGGGCCTTTATTCAATTTTGTTAGTCAGGACTCAGGATCTGTTTAGGAGAGTTTTAAGTATATGTCAGATTCTTGATATGTGTGGTTAATTTTGTTTGATTCACGAGAGATTATTTGTGGATCTGCCTTTTTCATCTCGTTTTTATTTGGGGGATTGCCCAAATTGCAACCTATTGAGAAATCTGACCTGATTTTTTGTCAAATTTTGCCCCAGGTGTTTTTGCTTTCCCTGTTTCTAGAAAAGATCCTTGTTGATTTGTGTTTATCGCCGTTCGCCGTCATGCCCGGAATTGTCATGGATGGAATTCAAGAATCTGTGTTGGCAGACGAGAACGGAAATTCAGCCACCAGTAAAGAAAATCCGGCAGCCGATAACTCGACCCCAAAGGGCAATCAGAACGGAAATTCAGCAGAAAATGTCAAGAAGGAAATCGAGACCTCCATCGACCAGCTTTACGAAAATGTCTGTGATATGCAGAGCTCCGACAGGTCACCTTCGAGGCCCAGCTTCGGATCCGAAGGCGACGAGTCCCGGATCGACTCCGAACTGCGGCATCTCGCTGGCGGCGAGATGAAAGAGGTTGAAATAATCGAGCAAGACGAGGATCTCCAAAAGGCTGAAAATGTCTCGAAAAAGGACAGTACCCTGCCCGCAGCAAAACCCGATAACTCTAACCCCAGATCGTCAAGACGGGCCTCCCATTCGAGCCCGAAAAGCAAAATCCCGGCAAAAACTGCTTTACGGCCTGCGAAAATCAAGACCTCGCCAATGAAGCCGCAAGACGGGCTGGAAGACCCACTTGATAACCCGGATCTCGGCCCGTTTCTCCTCAAGCAGGCCCGTGACTTGATGTCGTCTAACGATAATCCACGAAGGGCGCTCGACTTGGCCACCCGTGCCGCCAAGTCGTTCGAAAAATGCGCTGGCGGGCAAAAACCGACCCTCGACCTCGTCATGTGTCTCCACGTGTCGGCTGCCATACACTGTGCCCTCGGCCAATATGCAGAGGCCATTCCCATTCTCGAGCGCTCGATCGAGATACCCGATATCGAGGCCGGCCCAGATCACGCCTTGGCCAAATTCGCGGGCCATATGCAGTTAGGAGACACCTATTCGATGCTGGGCCAACTTGGGCGCTCGATTTTATCCTACTCAGCTGGGCTCGAGATTCAGAGGCGGGCCCTTGGGGAAAACGATCCTCGAGTGGGGGAAACGTGTCGGTACTTGGCTGAGGCTCATATTCAGGCTATGCAGTTTGATGAGGCCCAGCATGTCTGCCAGCTGGCGCTCGACATTCATCGGGGGACGGGATTGCCCGCATCCCTTGAAGAAGCTGCTGACCGGAGGCTGATGGGGATGATCTGTGAGGCGAAAGGTGATCCTGAGGGCGCGCTCGAGCATCTCGTTCTTGCCAGCATGGCGATGGCGGGAAACGGGCAGGAGTCGGAAGTGGGCCCGGTTGATTGCAGCATTGGGGACGCGTACCTGTCCCTGAATCGGTATGACTTTATCCAGTACAATTAATGGAGAATCGCGCAATAGATAATTAATCTACTCGATAAATTCCGAATTTTTAACCGAACCAAAAAAAAAAATGATTTTTTATCGGGTTAATCGCGCAATAGATAATTTATGGTTTGGCTGGGTTATTAACCAAAAATTCAGCGTTCGGTTCGGTCGGTTCGGTTCGGTTCGGTTCGGTTATCGGGTTAATCGCGCAATAGATAATTAAGCTATGCAATAAACTCCAAATTTTAACCCAACCAAAAAACTTGATTTCCTTGTTTAATTTTGTCAATAAATTCCAAATTCTCCTCTTAAGGAAGATCTCGGATCCAAGCCATGACTTGGACTATGACCAAGCCAATCTTGAGTGCAAATTGATGCTTGAGCCATTTTAGGGTTCATTTAAGCTCGAAAATCATCAATAATTGAAGCAAATTAATGCTTTTTTTATGTATAAATAATATATATATATATATAAATATATATATTTGCATAAATCGGTTTTCGGTTAACCGATCACTATTATCCAAACTGAACCGAAAACCTAATTTCAAGAAAATGTAAACCGAAATCAAATCAAATATTCAGTTTCGATTTCGGTCAGTTCGTCTCGGTTTAACCGAATTGTTTTGCATCCCTAGGTATGACGAGGCGGTTTTCGCGTACCAGAAGGCCCTCACATCACTCAAATCTGCACGAGGCGAAAGCCACCCAGCCGTGGCTTACGTTTATGTTCGTCTCGCTGATCTTTATAACCGAACGGGAAAATTCAGGGACTCGAGATCATACTGCGAGAACGCGCTCCGAATATTCGAGAAGCCCAGCCCAGGGACTGCCCCTGAGGAGGTGGCGGGTGGGCTAGCCGACATCTCGGCAATCTACGATTCAATGGGAGAAACCGAGCGCGCGCTGAAGCTTCTGCAGAGGGCGCTCAGGATTTATAAGGACGCGCCAGGTCAGCAGAGTACAGTTGCGGGTATTGAGGCTCAAATGGGGGTTATGTACTATGTACTGGGAAAGTATAGTGAGTCGTATTCGTATTTGAGAAGTGCGGTTGAGAAGCTCCGTGCGAGTGGGGAAAAGAAGTCTGCGTTTTTTGGGATTGCTTTGAATCAGATGGGGCTGACTTGCGTGCAGAGGTATGCGATTAACGAGGCCTTGGAGTTGTTTGAGGAGGCAAAGGTGATTTTGGAGAAGGAATGTGGGCCTTGGCATCCGGATACGCTTGGAGTTTATAGTAATCTTGCCGGAACTTATGATGCAGTTGGCAGGTAAGGATTATTAATATGTTTTT